TAAGCATGCAAACTTTGAACGCTCACAACTTTGTTGGTAGACTCATTTTGCAGTTTTAATTTCCATATTTCTTAATAACTTTCAAAGCCCTATAGATATACCTAGGTCTCCACTCAAAGTTCCATGGGAAGTTAAAACTCTTCCCTGGTGAGATCGGTTCGTCTCGAAATTCTGCGTCGCAGAAACGGTGGAATCATGGCCAACGTACTTAAGATTTTTGCACCTTGTCAGAACAGACCCAGACCGTGTATGATAGATGTTGTGAACATGTTTTTGGTGTGTATACTACCGAGTTATAGTGCTTGCTAAATATTATACATTCATTTGTAGTCATTGCTTCTATGTTTGCTACCCTCCTTTGCACTCGGCAATGCTACGGTAACGGTGGGAATAGTTGCAGCTGAGAGGTTCTTACCAGACATGCTGTGGGAATGGGATTTGCTAGGTAAACGCCTCTCTTTGATTTTGATACTTCGAGTATTACAGGTGTCCCAAAATTAATGGCGCTGAAAATCAGAAACTTTTAATAGACACATTCAAATTCACTTCATTCGCTATTAGCTATCGTACAAGTAGGTTTCCTAGGAATACGCACAGTTGATGAAGTGGGACTGTCAATATTTTTTACGGAGGAATATTTGCGGAGGTTCATTCAAAGCTACTTGCAATCATCGTGATGCGGGAGGCTGGAGGGCATTATGAAATTCTTTGTGATATCTAATATGCGTATAGAAGTCTATTAGATGATACAGAGAATGAGACTCAATCAAAGACAAATTAGGAAAGGGTAGTGAGGCCAGCGTCTGCAAACATAGAACTGTTATTAGAATGGTCCGTTCACAAGCCGATTGTGATCGTGGACCCATGGAAAAGAGGTTAAATAAGCAAGACCCGTCCAAGTTGTCGGTAGGCCGGGTGCCAGGCAGGAGCTTCATTGCCGTTCCTGTATGCAGAAATGCTGCTTCATTTCCGATCTCAGCAGATAGTAAGGGCCAAAAAATGCATAAGGTCCTAAATCACTTGTGTGGAGTCGCGAAACCCTTAATCATTTCGCTTTCTAACATTTTCACTAGAAGACTTCTCCTCAACAGATAAGGCGATCGCATTGTGGCTCGAAGCATCGAAAATACAATCCCTAACAAAAAAGAACTGTCATAAAGCAGTAAATCGATGTAATGATGTTTTTCGAGGGAGGCCGAGGCAAGGGTAAGACGCCCGGCGTGCGGTGTGAAAATTAGCAAAGACGTATACTCAGAGCATACTCATGGACGTAGTCAAGCACTTCACACCGCGATCTGCAACGCGATCCCACTTCGCCTCTCGAATAGGTCAGTCCTTCCACCAGGACGTTATTCCCTCCCTTCGTAAAGTGAGCGCTAATTGCGTGCAACTGCGAGGAGATCGAGAAGAGACATCTGCCCTCTATCCGTTCTACAAGGGGATATTTTGAGATGTGAGTGTAACAGGTTGTAGCTTATAATGTGAGGAAGTGTAGCCAATATCGCTCCATTGCCAATATCGGCTAAGAAGCTTTTGATACATTGCCGTGAACTGACGCCTATAATCTTGGGACACCCTGGATTCAAAGAGAATAAGCAAGTTTTTCGTTCGATTCTTTCTAGTCTTTTCGCGCTTGAGATGTCATAGTGACGTTTATTTAGGTAAGAGTATAACGTTAATGCTGATATTCGGCTGCTTCTCCTCGTTGCTATTTCTGACTTTTCAATTCAAAATGGTACGATATTGTTGGTTCCTATTTTGGGATCAACGTAAGAGTCATAGCAGAGATAGCAGAGTAAGCATTTTTCAATCGATCTTTTCAATATGCCCAGGGTTTCAAGTCAGATAGTCACTTGCTGGTGTCAGGTCACCCATGAAGATGATGAAAAAGCAGAGGCTGAAGAGCGAGTTGACGTAGTGCAATTTAGCGACGATTTGGCACTGGAAGTGAAGGTGAGCACCATTGCGGGGTGTCATAGCATCGTGTTTGCATTCAGTACAATCGGATTGGATGAGGATTTGCAGGATTTGTGCAAAATGTATGGGGATTTGAGAGCCGTTGATGGTCTGACGTTAAGTGTGCGAAACAGCGAATGCTTTGGATTGCTCGGCGCGAACGGGGCTGGAAAGACAACTACTTTCGATATACTCACAGGACAATCATTTGCAACCTCTGGAACCGCTCGCATCGGCAAACAGGACGTGACGAAGCAGATTGTGAGTTGAACTTTTCTGTTCCCTTTCAAGTAATTCTTGTTTCTTGGTACTGTTCAATTGTATAACTTCGTTTCTGCTATTCTTTTCAGTGTATCGGTTATTGTCCGCAATTTGACGCACTTCTTTCGGATTTGACTGGAAGGGAATCTTTAGAGGTATTCATTTGTTTACAAAACCAATGATGATGACGATTTGTTTGGGTACTCTCCCATGCAAACCACGGAGTGAGGAGAAATGTGGGATCGATCAGGTTTCCTCGAAGTTTCGGATCAGCCAAATCATTGGCGACTTCTTTCGTAGATCCGAAGGCCTCCAAAGCTTCTTTCCATTGTCTTAACCTGTTACAACAACGGTCACATTTCTTCATGTCGTTGTCATATTCATGGAACACCCGAGATAAACGTAAGATGGGGTCTCCTTAATAAGTGTATTATCGATCTTAATTTTACCTTCGCCGTCCCAAGGATTCTGCTTCAGCAAGGTTTCAGCTTCCGAAATGAAAATTTAATAGAGAACGAATCGTCCGCAATTCGAAGATTTGGGAGACACCTCCCGTCCACACGAATGCCCTTTTTGCTCCAGCCTAGCGACTTCATAATTCACTGCAACGCAGCTGAGAACAGCTTTGGTGAAATGGTGTCGCCTTCTCTTACACCCTTCGCAATGGAATAGCAAGAGGCTCTTGTAATAGATACGCCGTCGCAATGCAGCCAGTACTACAGACAGCTAGTAATCTAATGTAGAGATTCCACCTCTTGATCAACCAGTACTGACAAAACCGCATTCCTTTCAACACTGTCAAAGACTTAACCATAACTCACCAAGAAAGTTGAAAATGGATTTCTGAATTTTCGGCATCTCTTGATGACCAATGGACCGCTCGAATGTGATCCAACCAGCTGATCCCTGTCCAGTAGGTTGAATTCCTCCAGTTTCTTTTCCAACATTCGCGATATGCGGCTGGGAATGATCCACGTGAACAGCTTGTAAAGGGTACTCAACAAGCTTATTGGGCGATACTTGTGAATATCATCCCAGTCTCATTTTTGTGGAAGTTGTTTATCTGCAAACATCCACTAATAAGGGATATCCTCCTTCTAGAGGACGATGCCATGAATGTTGCGAGAAGCACATGTAGTTCATGATCACCTACACGGAATGGGTGGGCTGAGATTTTTCAGGGCCTGGAGTAGTGCCCCTTTTCATGCTCGCAATCGCAACTCTCACCTCAGAAGGGAGGATCCGGGTTGGTGTTCCTCCGGCGGGAACTTCTGGGTCTCCCTTCTGGTCCACTTGAGTTTCTTCTGTGCGGCCTTGTGGTCAACTTGAGTTTCTTCTTCTACACTCTCATTACTCCTATCCATTAGGGAAAGCTTGACCTGCTATGAACAAGTAAGGAGATCCCGTCGCAGTCTTCGGTCGGGTCATCCATGGCCTGTTACTCATGTCGAGACAAAGCGCCGCTTAGAAATCTCCGTCGTATACACTTTGCGCAATGTTGAGAGATACCTCCCAGCTTGTGACTGAATCTGATAACCGTAAAAATAACCGAAGGTGGTTTTACAGATACTGGCCCGTATGCATGGCTTCCCACATCCAGCTGATATAACAGATGTTGTTCTTCGTGTAGTCGGTATGACAGATCACGCGGATAAGTTGGTGCGCTACTGCAGGTAACATTTTTCACAATTCTACTCCCCCATTACTCTCTCTTGAGAAACATTGAGGTAATGCTTTATTTTTTAGACTTTGAGATAACGGAGTTTACTAACGCCATTGGTGGCTGCTAATCAGAACATTGTTGATAATTTTATTATTCCTCGACATGAGTCAGGCGTGTCGTTAGAGATTTGTCGTATGTCATTGACTCTCCGCATTCCTTATATCATTATCAGCTTGACCGTCTTCATAAATCGCCATCAATACCCAATATTTCGTGTTTAGCATTTTTAGTCACAGACCTACGCTGGAATCTGTAAACACATCCACTGTAGTTTTTAACGTTTTTAACGTTGCGAAGATTTTCGGAGTTTTAGTGGAGGGCAACGTCGGAAAATAAGCGTTGGTCTGGCGATGCTCGCTCCAACCCGAGTCATCATTTTGGATGAACCTACCGCTGGAATTGATCCCAAAGTGCGTAATTGCTAGCTCATACATGGACTTTTTCTGGTTCTAAGAAGATGCGAAGCCTCCCTCAGGTTTAAGACGATCTATTGGTCTTCAGGCTCGTCGTGAGATCTGGAAGGCCTTATCAGTTATACGTGACAGCTCTGAAACAGCTATACTGCTGACATCTCATAGCATGGACGAATGTGAAGCGTTGTGTAGTCGGATTGCGATCCTGCACAGGGGCCGAATGGTGGCGATTGGGACGAGCCAGCAGTTGAAATCGAGGTGCGTATGCATGCTTGTTGAGAAATCTGCCACTTGTCAGAGCAGGAACCTCTGGCCCTGAGAACTTATGGTGTCCATATTATCAGTCTCTCTCCATAAAGCGCTACTTTGTATTTTATGTCCATTTGTGCTGGGACGCGAAAAGTCACGCAGGCGTGATGAGGATTGTGAAATGTCACATGGGCGCATATTAAATGATTGAGGAATATGTTAAATGATTGAAGAACATGTACAATTAAAAGATAATACGCTATTCGGCTCTACAGCACGTCCGCCTGGTGTCCGTAGTATTAACTAAAATCATATGACTGAATGTAGATATATAATATATATTGTATCGCTCGAAAGTTCTCGGCCAAACACTTTTTCGTTCGTAACTTTTTTCTTAGCAAATCGTGCAAACTTTTTATATGTACAACCAAAGCATATTTCACAATATCCAACAGAATTCGGCTGTAAAGCAACAGTATTTACATAACTAAGCGCAAAGTGTTTGTGGTAGCAGCGGATTTCGCTGAAGGCAAGGTTAGCGACATCTGCAATTATTCACACCTTATATGCGTTTTTTTCATCACTGCGTTCGGCATTAGCATTCGTGCACTTTAGACATGGCAAGGAGGCAATTCATCTCAGAAGGATTCCGCCAAGCAGCTGTGAATATGAAGGCATCAGGAATGAAAATCAGCGCCATTTCAAGGATCTTGAAGATTAAACAACAGAGGATATCATCGACAATCCAGCGATATCAGGTCAGAAGTTCCGTTGGCAATGCTCGGAGAGCGGAGAGGCCTCGTTGCACTACAGCAGGACGAAATAGGAGCATTATTCGGAGTTCGAAGGTTTACGGCTGTTGATATGGCCGCTAAATTCAACGCAAGCAATGCCACGACGGTAAGTCGGCAGACTGTAAGAAGACGCCTGAACAGTGCAGGAATCTACGGAAGGCGCCCCGCCAAAAAGCCGCTCATCAAGGCGAAAACGGAAGTGCTAGAGTGGACTTTGCGTGCCGCCACCTCAATTGGACTTCAGCTGACTGGGGTATAGCACTATTCACGGGCGAAAGCGAGTTCAATTTGTTTGGGAGGGACGGTATAAGATTTGTACGACGTCCTTGTGGCGAAAGGTACAATACAAGATACACGCGACCTACGGTAAAGCATGGTGGACGGTCCGTGATGGTATACGGCGCGATATCACTGAATGGAATGGACCCATTCTTGAAAGTAGAGGGCGTAATGACAAGAGAATCCTACAGGGATATGCTAATCAACACTGTGTTGCCATGGGCTCGGGAGAAGATGCCATCAGGATGGGTTCTGAAACAGGGTAATGACCCAAAACACGCTTCAAGAGCCGTGAGGGCGACCTTTCAACAGCAACAAGTCACAGTTATAGGGTGGCCGAGTCCATCCCCTGATCTGAATCACATAGAACACGTATGGGAAGAGCTTGGTAAGCGTTGTTCCAACAAATTGAGTGGGAATAAAGAAGACAAATTCGGTCATGTCACGGATTAATGGCGCGCCATGCCCCTGCCTTTCGTGCGGAAACTCACCGAGTCAATGCCCTCTCGCTGTGAGGATGTGATCGAGAGCCATGCTTTTCCTACCAAGTATTGATGTTTTTGACTGTTTGGCATGTTATTTATCTAAAATGAAGCGGGTTTTCTTCAATCATTGTTATCCATGTTCCCAGTTGGTTTTGAGTTCAAGACTTTTGAGATATCTGGATCATGATCAGATTGCAGGTCAGTAGTGGTTAATGTTCACAATACACCCATGCTCAACATATGAACATTTCACATGATTAGATCCAGTAGGAAAGGAGCTACTACTGAAAAACACGACTGGAGAAGCATTTAGCCGATGACTTCTGAGCGCTACTGTATAAACCACAAATCTGTTTGTCGATCTGTTGGACTGCCTGCTTGTCCGTTTGTAGACGTTCTCTATGATGCTTTTTGGAGATCGAGCTGGAACAGCCCAGGCCAGGTTAGAACAAGTGGAGAATGAGCCAAACTACCTGACAACACGTGACCCGAGCTGGACTCCGCGCACTAGAGGCGGGGCGTCCACAAAAAGTGTGGTTCACCGAAAATCTATTGCTCCTGTTTTCTTGGGGCCAGAGTGTTTAAACTCAGATGGGATACAGGCGGCAAAACGGAGACGCCAATGAAGGTGTAGACTCCACCCACTGGGGGCGGGGCAGAACAAAAATTGTTATTATGGACCTGGAGAGATCAAATTTGGTAGAGGTGCAGGTGGCAAGATAGGAAAACTAATGGCAGGTGTCATGTGTAGACTCCACCCACTGGGGCCGGGGCTAGCGCGAAAATTGTTAACGTGAGCCTGGGGCGTTCAAATTTGGTAGATATGCATATGGAAATGTGAGCACACTAATGTTAGGTGGCAAATGTGTACTTCGCCCACTGAAGGCGGGGTTTGCGCGAAAATTGTCAATTTGGAACTGGAGACTTGAGGTTTTCAAGTTTGGTAGAGATTCAGGTGGCAGGGAGAACCAATGGTAGCAGGACTGAAATCGGGAGAGCGGACAAAGGAAAAGTGGGGAATTCAAAATCGACAATCCTGTCTATAGCCTTTTAAGCTTATATGGCATTAATTCACAACTTGGCCCCTTCACACACTTAGCCTTCATGTATGTTCACTGCCCGGTAGGGTATCCCGCTGGGGTAATGTTGGCCGATATACCGATGTGCCATATTAATCTATTGTGTAGTTGACCGCTCAATCGCAATAATGTTTCCATTGGTCGTACAGTGTTCCATTTTTAAGAAAGTTGATGAGATGTGGTGGGATTGAGGCTGTAAACGTATTGAGCGATGGTAGCAACCGATTCTGACCAGTGTACTTCTGTGCTACTCGATGTAGGGATGCTGCTAACCACCCATTTTTTTCGAGCAGGAAAGAGAGGACTAATGATAGTCTCAGAGAGGCATCAAAATTAACTTATGAAGGAGGAGAGCAGGGCACAATTCACACGATCCGACTGTCTTATAAAAGTTCCATGTAACTATCCGTAGAGAGTTCTATTGTTCGGCCCGATGAAAAAGTCTTGCCCTCTAGTGCAGAAAACACACCACAACAGTGCAGAAAATCTTCTCGGTTGAAATTGAAGATTAGTAAAGAAGCTCTTCGCTTTCATATTTATAAGATTTTGCGTAAAATTTCATCAAGCAATATATTGGCCAACGAGATCGTCGATTGGTATAATATCAAATGCCTTCTTCGACGAGGCGGATAAATGAGGGAAGGGCAGAGAAATTCCCATTCCTTCGGTGAAGTACAGGATTCCACAATGATAGGGGGTAAACAAGAAAGAAAATAATTTCAAGAGTCTTTCTCGATTTTTCGAATGTCTCAGTCAATATATGGGTGCATAAACAAATGTAGATGGTCGTCATATGGGCGCTCTCGATAGACTGCTTATGACGTTGTTAGTTGGGTTCTAATGGTTCGCTCTATTTTTTCGAGAAAGGGCGGTGTGCTACGTTGCTAAAACGATTGCGCTTCAAGGTTTTTTTTTTGAGAAAATTTATTTATCAAAATCCATAAAACGCGCACGATACGTGCGCAGGCCAACTCGTAGAGATATTTGATGCATAGATTCACTGTGTTTGTCTTTAGATTCGGGAATAGCTATACAATATCGATGGTCGCACCAGGAGTGGACACTCGTGATGCTGTCATTGACGCGGTGAAAGTCGCATTCCCTAGAGCTGTTTTGAAAACACCTAAAGGAAGCCTAACTCTCAGTTTGAAGTGGGAGGTACGAATAGCTTCAAACTTTTGACCACTTTTATGCTCTTTCAAACTTCGTTTTCTCTCTTCCCTCTAAAAGCAGCTCTGAAATTATGTTTGAAAATGAAAGGATGAAGATGAGGCTACTTTCATTGTCCGCCGGCCGGCCCGCTAGCACGCGAAAGAGCGCGCCGGCCGGGGGCGGCGCTTGCCCCTTGTTTACAACTGAATCGTGGTCGACACCGTCGGCCGAGTAGTCCTATGTAAGCAGCCTGAGGGACCTGCGAAACGGTCTTCACTTTATTCGCTGGCTGTCCTGCTTGGCTAAACTGGAATGGATTGAAACAACATCGACATCTTCGTTTTTTCAGATTCCAAAGTCCAAATCGGATCGGTGGTCGTCGCTATTTCGCGACATCCAAACTCTGGCCACTTCACTGGGAGTTGTTGATTTTTGTGTGACGCAATCCTCGCTCGAAGAGACCTTCCTGAGGCTTTCCCGGGACAGCGAAATTGATGACACCGAAAGCAGTTCAAGTCGATGACCTCATTTATATTCTGTGCTACATTAGTGCTCTTGGGTTTCTTAGCTACTGGCCCTTATAGTAGTATTTCGAATATTGTTGCCGCCAAGTTCCCACGCACATGCAGCAGAGGTGCGTTAGGTGGGGGTTAACAAATTAAACAGTTCATATTTTTTCCTCTAGCGAGCTTCCTTTCTTATTAAATCTAGTCATTACCTCATGCCCAGCTAATAGCTAATGCTCTTAGAACCTGACATATTTGCTTTCACTTTCACTCCAATACGGAATTATTACGGTTCTGTTTCATTCGTTTTGTCATTCGTTTCGAACTGTACATTCAAAGCTTAATTTATTGATATGGTACATCCATGGGTCTTGGGCCAGGGCCATTTTAAATAGTTTCCTTACAGTTGCGTTGATTACCTAGTTGAAACGTTCTTACCTGTGTCGGGGGAGGGGGGGAGGGGACGGAACATTCACCCAGAACTGGATGGGCGCGGCTAACCGCGCGGCGAAATTCGTGGCGATTTAAACGACTCTGGCGCCTATCATTGGGGCACAATTTTAAAGTGGGATGGATGTGTGGCATTAGCTGGCCCTACTTATCCAAACTACTCAAAACCCGTGCCGCAATGATAGGCGGCAAAGCCGTTTTAATCACCACGAATTTTGCCGCGTCCATCCAGTTCTTTGTGAGTGTACTCATACCCCCTGTATCGGTAGTTCACCAGCCCAATTCATTGTCGTTTCATGAAAGTCATTGGCTATGCTTTCATCAGTCATATTCTCCTCGTCCTCCTCTTCCTTACGCATCTTTAATCAACAGTGATCATATTGAATAGACATTTTTGTACTACAATCGCCGAACTCTACAATAAAATTGTTTTTGGTTTGTTGTGATCTAGCCAGTAATCCGTGTTGAGGCGGTTATATCAGGTGCGGACGGTCAGTGAATATGTCAGAGATGTTTGTATTTGTGATTTTTTTNTTTTTTTGAATCACCAGTCCGATCGCCTGGCCTGCGCCGGGCCTCATTTCTTACCTTACCAAGTGCTTAGAAAATGTAGTTGTTGAGAGGTAGGGCATCGCTTTCATCCAACGTTGAGGGCTAGAGTGCAGAGGAGGGGTAGCCGACCTGACCTAAAGGATATGATTTCAAGCTAAGCCTCAGTAGGGGAGGAGCGGCGGGGTTGGGATGAGATGATTACCTCACGCTAAAAGCTAGGACGGGATATGAGTTGAATATTCAATTGACTCATCCACCACGGTACCCCTTCCATCCTGAAGCTCAAGTCAGAATTTGTGTTCTCGGCTGAGAAACGTTAATGAGCACAATTATGGGCTAACCTCCTCATGTTGAAATTATATTGAAAAAGAGCGGAGGACTCCCGTTTACATTACCATCTCCGATTTTGTGAAGACGTACATGGCACGATGCCAGTACAGTTCGAAATAACAGTCTTGAAGTACACACTTCACATCACTCACTTCACTTCGCGTTACTCATTCTACTCCATTAACCTACCCACCGATTTACTCCTTTATATGTAAGAAGGAAAAGTGAGATCTGGGGTATTCATATCCATATCATTACTCTTCTCGTAATCATAAAGTTTGCGGACGGACACACCGACGTGCCGACATACCGACTAACACCCAAAGCGACAAACCGACACACCAAGTTACTGCTTTATAAATAAGAGGTTACGTGTTTGGTTACATTTGGTCAATTCATGACAGTCGCCATTAGCCTTTGATCCCGTAAGTAGAACTTTTGAAGTGTCTCTATACTGTTCAACCTGAATCCTGAACATGAAAATCTCCAGCAATACTAGTTGACGACCCCGAGAACATAGGGCCAATGCTTTTTTCATATTACCTAGTTTTACAGTGGTTTAGTGAGTGAAAATGTAGTTGGGTCGGTGTGGGGGACCAATCTAGTTGAATCACATTAAATTGATGCTTAAAGAACGCAGCTCGTAGTTTAGATTTAACTCGGAATCACAATACAGATCCAGGTAATTGTGGTCGTATCGGTATCGGCCAAGCTAGTCTTATGCCTACTCAGCCATTAAATCTTACCATTAGTGAGCTTGTTTCTAGCTTTCTAGCGGTAGCATACTGCTACTGCTTACCAACAACACCTGCAAGGGGCTATCCCCTCACTTGTAACACATATACGAAGTCTTCAACCACCCGTCCCGACTCATCGAAAAAAAGGCCTAGGCAAAGGCACGTGGCTGGTACGTGGGACTTATTGCGCAATAGCCGCTTTCATAGTTCGCCGGCCGGCCCGCAAGCGCGCGCGCCGGTCGGCGGACTATGAAAGCAGCCAATTGCTGAATACAGCGGGTGATTGACAAAGCAAGGAGTCAGTTCTAAGCTTCACTATTTTGAGTTCTATGGTGTAGATTCATGATGCTGCAGTTATTTCCTTACTAGTTACGAGCTCTATCCCTTATAGGACAACATCTTTGGAACATAGCTCTCATTGTTGTAGGTGTATGATTCGTGGTTTGATGCTTTGAAAAACAGCTTGCATCTATTCTCATCAATGAAATTCTAAGTGGAAGGGCCATTTTTCATGTTTAGTGGGAATTCATGGTAGTTAAGCTGAGGGAACTGTCAGTAGTGCCGGACTTCTGATCTTACTGATTGCTCTACTAACCATATTGCACGCCTTGCGTCGATTCTCCGATTTTCTGTCGATTTCTGTGTAATTGATTTCTGACTTGACCACATCTTAAGATTTTCAGATTTGTGATATCACATCATAGAAAGTTTCATTAACATTTTTATTGTTTGATTTTAGAATTATTTTACCCATCAATGTGGCATTTGAATTCGGATTTTTGTTTCGCTTATAAATTCCTTAATTTTGAAGTAGGAAAACCTCAATTTTTTTGGTCACGTCCACCCAAAACCCGAAACAAGTACATAACACAGTGGGATTTGGTTGTAAATACTTTTCTTCAGAACGTCTTTTGCTAAGTACGTTTTTGCTAAAAGAGAACACTACACTTCTTACTGTACGTTTATTGCAGCTACTGCGTCTATGAAAGCAGCTTCGAAACTGAAACAGTTATTTCTCAACTTGACGTGCAGGGATAGGGGTAAATTTCAGCTGATATGGTTCACGACGTCGCAAAGGAATTCCTGACTTTTCGTCGAATCTTTCGAGAGGCGAGCTCTGTTTCACAGGTAGTTAAGGGACAGTTGTAACAGGAGTTCTTCCTACTAGTAAAGTTAGATTTTGATGGAAGAATATTCGTAGCTCTTCTTTGCGTGTTTTGCCAAGGTTGAAGATCGAGTTTGATTCGTTTTTTTTTTTTACGTTACACTTATTTCGACCAAAACATTTTAGTGTCTGCCCTGGCATTTTTTACAATATCCACGTCACATCAGGTCGTCCCCTCATCATTCATTCAGAAAGTCTTGTTCTGAAAAATTCACAGATCTTTGCTAAACATCCCTTCCAGTTCCTTGAGCTGCTTAGTTTCTTCGACGTTTCCTAGTACGTACCAGCGTTTCTGTGGTGCCAGCAAGCTGGAAGCACTCCATGCTGTCCAAAACGTTTGTTAAGAGTTTACCGTGTACACCGGCCAGCGACGATCGTTCTGTTTGCGTTTGTTTAGAATGATGTTCATTATTTCCTTAAGAGCATGGTCTTGGGTAGCTGTTGCAGAACTTGTTTTATCATTTTTCACATAATGCAATATATTTCAAATTGGATTTTTTACATTGTCTGGAAAACGACTCATATCGGCTCCCATACACGTCATCATAGACGTGTGATAAAGTTAAGGTTCAACCTATTCAGTGATTACAAAGATGAACAACAATGAGCCTTCAACATGATCATTGATGTAGGAGTAGGCAAAATGGGCAGTGATCTGCATATCTGAATATGTACTTAGGAAATGTCTCGTATGAGCCGTTGATTATCGTAAGGCGGTTCCTTTTTTCCCATCTGTTGGCATCGGTAACTTTGCGCTAACAGTTGTAGCGGAATCATAAATGCTTCGTTGGGAAATCAACGTTGTTATCTCAGTTATCCTGCTCATAATGTGGAACAGTAGTTGTTTTTTGATGATTAGTCTTAAAAATGAGAGTTTTTTTTTTATTTTACTGTTTTGCTTCATATGTTGGTGGCTGAATGCGTAGCTGAGCCTCGTCTGTGCACCGTTTCTTCCACGTTTCTCCAACTTCGCCCACGTCACGATCGATTTACTTTTCTCCTACAATTTTCGTCATTCTGCTCGAACTACTCATTTTCGAAACCGCTTATGCTCTGCGGTATGCCTATTACCTACTAAGAGGATCATTTTCAGGGGCAGGCGTAGCAGCAGCTTTCAGTCAACAGCATGTGTGACTGTTTGCGACAATTATGGCTGCTGACACACAAGAATCTGATTCTGAGCCGGCGTAATAAAGTATGGACGTTGTTCGAAGTGATTCTACCTATTATATTCCTTCTTCCAGTCACATTGCTCGTTGTGAGGGTCAGTTCATGTTTGTCTAATTTAAGTTCTGTATTTTGCGGTTGATGGTACTTTTTCAATGGACCAATGTTTATTCATGAATAGATTTCGATGTAAAGCTCGGTTCACAGCTGGTGCATCAACTATTAACAACGCTCATCAACCAGTTTCCAATTTACTGGTCAGTAGTTATAAGCTTTGCATTGAAAATCGCACCCTTCAGGGTGGCACCGTGCAGTTGTCACCAGGTAGTTCGTTCGAGCCTGTGCCCTTGGAGGGTGGAGCAGAAGACATCACTATTTATGAGGCGTTCTCATCCATACAAGAGCGTTGGTGCGATCGTGGACATGTTCTTATAGCTTATTCGTACGTTTACGGTCCCTATATCCAACCGGAGCAATTCATTTTTTTAAATTTGGCACATATTCGAAGGACAGGAAACTAGCTGTGAAAGGAATAGCTAGCCCTAGTGGACTTCCGTGATGAACGTTGCTGACCTCGGTTTGCTTTCACCATTATTCCATTCACGTGCTAAATGGTTCATTCAATTCAGCACACAAGAAAATCATGATTCCGTGGAGGATTTGATGAACGAACTGGCCGCTCGATTCAGCAACTCTTCTGTAAAAGTAGACGTCGTGTACATAAAAGACGAGACGCACTTACTTGATGAACTTCGTGCAGACGCTCCCAATAGCAGTGATTTTGGTTGCTGTATCAACAAGTGAGTCCTACTGTATGCGCTGTTTTTCAAACTTTCCGCGAATTTCTCCATGCCTGTCGATAATTTGTGAAGGTGACTGGATTTCAGATACGCAGGTGGTGTGATATTCAACCAGTTTGACACAGAAGCTGCTAAGCTTGATTACAAACTACTCGTACCTGCTGGCACCAGTATCTTTGATGATTGGTATCTCGATGAGGAATGGGATGAACCATTTGAAATCGATGAGAGTGGCTATAGGTGATTCAAGCTAAAGATGTATCTTTTATTTATTTACTCCGTGGTTGCATTGGTGACCTTCTACAGATCTAGTAACATATTGAATCTGGCGCTTCTTCACATGACTACTCGGAAATCTTACTCGCTATGGGAAATATTGGGTAAACTTTCCTGAAAATTAAGTAGATAGCATTGGGTTGGGGAAGACGCCAAAATTTACTCTACTCTTGGCAGCGATACATGTGTGCGGAATCAGAAACATAATTTTTCGGTGGTTATATATGTATTTCACATGAGACCACTTCATGTCAACTTCCACCTATATCCTTTTTTGAAAACCTATTAGAAAAAATCATGCTGTTGACGGATCTAGGTGAAATTTATGTAGCAATTCGATAATTTCGCTTTCCAGTCCCAAGAGGCTCAAAAGTAAGTTCGCAGCTTGATGAATCGCCAATGATTGCATTAGCATCACTACAAATGTGTGAGGGAGTGTGAGAGAATGTGTGGAGGTGAGGAATGAAGGAGAATCAGAATGATACGAATGATAGATATGAGAGCGTTCAAAGTGCCTGGTTCTCTGACTGAATCATACCACTACCGCGTGTGTTCAGCCGACACTCTAGAGACACAGTTCACGATAACTTCGAATTATCCAGATTATGACGAAAAACGGAAGATAATATGGAAAGTAGTGCGATGAAGGCGAAGGAGGGTTCCGAAAAAAAATCGTTAAAAAGGGGGCTGGATAAGAAGAAGACCAGAAACATGAAGGAGTGTTTGGACGAGCTATACAAAGCTATACAATGTGCGTCATTGCGAACGTGTGGATCCTGGTGCGAATAGTTGGCTACAGTAAGCAGCAGTGTTCTTGAAATTCATTCACTCATAAGCTTCCTACAATATATAGTTCGCCAAGTGTGTTCGCTAGTCTATTTATTTATAACGTTGTGCATAAGGCAAACGCAAGAGAACGAGGTTGAAAAATCAAACAAAAGTTACAAACACATCCTATTAGACTAGGGCTCACTAAAACACAACAATTCCAACTTACTTAGGCGCTTGAAAAGTCGGAAGGCAGAAAACATTATCGCTACTGTAGTTTTAAGAGACGTGAATTCAGACCCTGCACGACAAGTGAAGCTATGCCGCTTTATATTCGTTTTAGGCGTGGCATAGGATATCTTTATTGACCACCCTCTAGTTCTGGAGTTGATCATACCATAGTATTTAGACGCATCAATCCTAGCAATACCAGTTAGCAGCTTAAAGACCATACACACATCAAAATATTATCTCCGAGAACAAAGCGTGTGCAATTTGTACTCTTTATTCCTCTCAAACACACGAGGTGGCCTTGAATACTTGTGCCCTCCAGATCTAATGAATATTTTACGGGTGAAATTATTTTGAATTTTTTCAATTAACCGAATTTCCTTCTGCTTATAAGGGCAAAATACTGTTGATCCACACTCTGCAATCGGCCTAATATACGTTTTATAAGCCCTCACAAGGAGATCTTCATCACTCACTGTAAGACCCTTGAAAATTTGGTATGTCCGATACGTAGCTTTCTTGTATATCATTTCCAAATGTTGGGAGAAACAGAGTTTATTATCATAATGAAAACCAAGATCTTTAACGGAAGAGACACTCTTGAGAAGATGATCGTCAAGTCGATAGGTTTGTAGCAGACTAGAAGAACCCATTCTCATATACACAGTCTTTTCAGGAGCTAGTGACAAGCTCCATTGTTTAGACCATTCAGAAATAGCGTGTAAAGCATTTTGAATCATTCCTATATCGTCTTCACTTTCAATCTTCCTATAGATTTTGATGTCGTCAGCAAATTGTTTGCATTTAACTCCACATTCTTCGAGCAATTCGGGAAGTTCAGCTGTATATATAGCAAAAAGTATAGGAGATAATACCCCACCTTGAGGAACTCCACTTGTGACACTTTTCAGTCCCGAAAAAACAGATCCAATACGAACTTGGAAAGTTCTCTCAGAAAGAAACTGCTTTATCCAACTGCATATTAGAGGATGGAACTTAAGGTGAACCAACTTGCTTACGAGCTTAGAATGGTTAACCTTATCAAATGCCTTAGAGAAGTCGAAATAAATTATGTCACACGATTTTTTGTTATCAAGGTAGTCGCTCCAGTCATTGATACATTCTAAGAGATTGGTTTCAACAGATCTTCCGGGGACAAATCCATGCTGATTAGTTGGAATAATTCCGTTGATATCCAAGTGTGACATGATGTGTCTTTTCAAGACTTTTTCAAACAAACGGCAGAAGTAAGAGGTTATGCTAACAGGCCTATAATTATCTACCAAATGTGATGGCTCCTTTTTAAGTAATGGAGTGACGAATGAATGTTTCCACCTACGGGGGACCTCAGAGAAACAAAGTGACTGATTGAAAATGTAAGCTAAGGGATCTGCTATTATATGAGCAATATTTTTTACAAACAAAGCTGGAATGAAATCTGGCGTCAACGAATAGGAAGAAGGTAATTTTTTT